AGAAAAAAAAATGAAATAGGTAAAATAGCAGGAAAAAAATGTATATATAGTTGGTGCAATTGTTTTTAGCTGGAATTTGACCTCCAGCTGCCCAGAAACAAAGGCAGCAGGGATAGAGAGCTCAGTTCATGGGTTACAGCAATGATCCAGGCATTATAAAATCCTTTGCACATGCTTTTGCCACTGTGCTGTTGCAGGAGCCTGGACACGTACCTTACCCTCAGGAATACAAAGACTTTTCAGGAGACCAAAAGCAGCAACTGATCTTCTGCCTTCAGTCTGTTAGGATATATTGCAATGCAGTGAGACAGGGATTCCTCTGATTTCTCCATAGAGGCAAACTACCATTGCTTCAATAACATTCTGCTCAGCAGCCTAATCTACTGTCTGTTCCAAACAACCATATCAGTACTTGCCTGTCTCAAAGGAGTTCTGTGAAATTTGATTCATTAAGCTGCGTTAAGCGGCATGAGATTCTCCATGGAAAAAAGCTTTAGAAGTGCAGAGTGCTGTGATCTTACACAGGGACTCCTCTGTGCAAGGAATGTGCAATGCACACATACAGTTGACTTGCAGAGATCTTATCTTGAGTTTTTTCTTTTTCTGGTTTTATGTGCTCTCCAGACCTATGCACATTCAAACAAGCTGTGTAACAGCTGTGGGTAGTTAAGAAAAAGAGAAAATTTAATGAAAAACATTGAAATAAATCCTATTTTCAACAAAGAAGTCCTACACAGGATTGTCAAAATACTTGACGGGACTCAACAAATGTCAACAAATTCAAAGATGAAGCAGGATTTCTGAGACATGTGTTATCTACCTGAACCCCTCTATCATCAGGATTCAGTATCTATAAATACCTCAAGGGAGGCAGTGAGGAGGATGGTGCTGGTCTCTTTTCAGTGGTGGCCCCTGAGAGGACTAGAGGAAATGGCCACAAACTGAAGCACCAAAAGTTCCACAGGAACTTAAGGAAAAATTTCTTAACAGTGAGGGTGACAGAGCACTGGAACAGGCTGCCCAGAGAGGGTGTGGAGGCTCCTTCTCTGGAGATCTTCCAAACCTGCTTGGATGCCACCCTGTGCCACGTGCTCCAGGTGACCCTGCGTGTGCAGGGGGGTTGGACTAGATGATCTCTAGAGGTCCCTTCCAACCCTAAGCATTCTATGATTCTATGATTCTATGATTCTGAGATCCTAATTTGCATGCCTGGTATCTGTACCTAATGCACGGCTCCTTGGAGGCACTTATTATTAAGCCATCTTGAATGTTTTAAACTAAACTGGTGATTTCCCACAAGTATGAGTGCTGTCCCTCATGTAGAGAAAGCTAACCGTAACAGAATGGAGTAGTACAAATGAAGACTTAAAAAATGGCATTACTAGGCTATTGCAGATGTGGCTCAGCACCAGCAATCTCCTCTGGCACAACTCTGGCTGCTTCATTTACAGTTTTCTGTGTCTTCCTGCCAACTTTTTTACCAGGAAGGTCCTTACAAACCCTCCACCACCCTAGATGAGGATGAGCTTAGTGAGATTTGGTCAGAGAGCAGACACTTTAGCACAGGACAACGTGCACACCAATGAAACCAGCAGTGTGAGCGCTGATAAAGGTTTCCAGAAGGATTCTCCTCTGCACTACATCCCGACTGTATCAGATCTGACTGTGTCTGCATTCCTTGTTCATAACAAACTGCATAGAGCCATCGTTGGAGGATTACAGCAGAACATTTAGTCTTCTTTTCAAAGGTGCTAAGCATCTGCAAAACCCACTGGTTTCAACATCAAGGAAACCAGGCTACTATTGCTACTTAAGTGTCAACATATGGATTTCAGGCTCTAAATGCATGCACCATGGTTTGATTAAATTTCTGCCTGGAGCTTTGCCAGAACAGATTATTTCATATAATAAAAGCTAGATCTACACTGAAATTCTGAAGCTGTACTGCACATCCCAACGCAGCATGGAGCAAGAGTGTAGATATTCCTCACATGGTTCAAGCAGAGACCAAGTGCCCCTAGCCTACATTACACCATCCCATTGACAATGAGACACTGCAGTACAGACAGAGCCTTAAATATCTTTCCAAAGTCATTATCGGTTCCTTTTTCTTGTTGCTGGTGATCAGCAGTTTTATCAGGATCAGATTTCCAAAGCAGATGTTCAGAACAGTGTGGAAGAGAGTGGCTGGAAAAACGTGGACCATTCTGAAACTGACTGCACCAGAATTCTTTTAAGAACTAGCCCCTAAAATCCAGACTG